AAAAAAAAAAGTTGGCGTCTTTTTTTTTTTTTTTTTTTTTTTTTTTTTTTTTTTAGTTTGTGTGTGTGCGTTGAGTTTAGACAGTACTTGTTTATTCCACGACTTCAAAAACACACCACACCCTTTCACTGGCCATAGTTTGAACTTGCATTTAGCCCAGGCCAGATAGATGTTGTTGCCCATTGCTTACTGTGAATGCTAATCGGCTTTCCTCTTGCTCTGCAGTGGTGTACAGGTGTTTAGCAGTCAGTCATGGATACCACCACCTCCCTGAAGATGACCTCTCTGGCTGTCCAGAGTCTGTTCAGCTACGTGGAGGAGGAGAACCTGGCTGCCATCAAAACACATTTGGACAAGTTCAGAGATGTGGACAGCAGGAGTGATGTAAGTCAGCTATATCGCATCAGTCCTCCTGTTGGGCTAAAGTTGTTTATTTTAGGGAAGGGTATGCATTAATGAAAGACTCTTTAGGATGTAACAAGGCTTTTGTTAGAAAAAGGCCATTAGATCTGTCAGGAAGCTGTAGTGGAATTGATGATATTACTGAAAATTATTCTGAATCCATTTACAAAGCATAACTACTGTGTTTGGCTTCTTAAGGTTAATATTTTCCTTTATATTGGCCATGTATGAGCTATAGTACCTATAAAAAGTGTTTACTTCCCTTAAAGGTTTTTCTCTTTTGTTGTCAATGACATGCGCTTTGATCCTTTTCTGTTGTTCGGTGTCAAAAAGCAACATTAAACCTATTTTGATTCAGTGTTTTAAAACAATAAAACATGAACAATTTTAAGGGTGGGAATAAATACTTTTTATGGCACTAAATACTACAAATCTTAACATTGATTACATGTTAAAGTATTTTCTCTTGAAAGAGTAGAACACAAAGTCTGAAACAACACCTCCAGTAAAGCACAAATTTCACCTTTATGTGGCTTATTCATTGTTCTGGTGCGCCAAGCAGCAATTTGCTCAATACTGCCCCCTGGCAGTCGGAGAGTGGGAGATACCCACTTTAACTGGTCCAGTACTCAAGAGTCGGACCACTGGTCAGCACAGCCACTAATCAGACATTTAAACCTGCCGGGGGGTGTACTGAAACACTGTTCTTTCACTTCACTGTGAGTGTATTTTGTTTTATTTCCAAGATCCAGCTGCTGCAATAATATTTTATCTTGTAAAAGGACTGCTATTGACTGCTGCATTATCTTTTATAATAATTGTACAAAAAATGCTGATTTATTATTTTGTTATTTTCAAATATTTATCAGTTTTCATTCCTTCTCTTGTTTCAGAATGGACAGACTCCACTAATGGTGGCGGCAGAGCAGGGCAATCTGGACATAGTACAAGAGCTCATTAGGAGAGGAGCCAATGTTAACTTGGATGACATTGTAAGCATGCACACACACACACACATGAAATCTCAAACTGCCTTGTATGGACCCCCCCCCAACACACACACACAGGTACAGGTGGCATCGTGGAAAACAGTGTGGTCATTTTAACCACATCACCCACTTGACAAAGAAAATTTAGCTGAACCAGTGGCCCTGATCTTCCATCTTGCTGAACTCACCACAGTCGGGCTTAGTCCTTAGCTATTATGAGTCTTCATGAGCCATAATGACAACTTATTACATACTTTTACCTTCGCTCTTTTGACTAAATGACAGGGTTCCACCCTGTGTCTTAGGAAGCCAGCCCCCACACACGCACACATTCACGCATGCATACACCCTCCCTCTTAAGCACACACGTTTGCTCACACACCCCTCATTAAGATCTCACACACAGTACATGTAACCTGCTATTACACATGGCACATTCAAACTTGTGCTCACTCTCACATTAATGCAGAAGAAGAGAGGAGAAGCGTTACATACTGTAGTCGCTCTTGTCTCTCATACTGTACTCTTTGACACTCCTGTCTGTTCATGCGACACTGTGTTCCCATGAGCACCTGGTACGACCAGCTGGTAGGTGCTTTAACATTTCTGGGCCATCCAGTATAGAGCTCGGACAGACATTTGTCCTGCTGGATTTGGAGTGTGATAGGAGTTCCTACAGTAACAGGTTGTCTGTGTGCGCAGGACTGCTGGACGGCGTTGATCTCGGCAGCTAAGGAAGGCCACATTGAGGTGGTGAGGGAACTGCTGGAAAACAATGCTAACCTGGAACATCGAGACATGGTGAGAATACAAAAGGAGACAAACCTTATGA